GTTCGCCATCATTGTCATGGCACTTGCTGGAAGCTGGCTGTCATACAATCTCTTTGGTGAAGCACCTAAGAATTAGGACCGCATGACATTTGCAGTTTCAGAATGTGCAGAAGCGTGCTTTGCGCAATCGACTGTAGGTCCATTGATCGGTTCGCTCTATGCCTTTGGTCTTGTGCTTGGCACCATCTACAGTGTCCCGACCCCGCCTCAGCCTGGGAAGGAGACGGCGTGAGTGTTTGTGGGAGCTTCATTCTGTTTTGCTGGGAGCCCATACCAGGTGAGGTTAACAAAACATAAAGCCTTCCAGCATTGACAGGGGCAACATGTTGACTCGAAAAACAAGTGAACAAAGAAGCAGAGATCTGTCCAGTGTGGCCATGATCAGACACATCACCTCAAGAAAGTAAGGACTCTTGAGACGGCTAGCAAGGCAACAAAGCTGAGAGAAATTCAACTCCCAAGAACTAATACGGGGAACCAGGTGCAAGCTCAACCTGCCACAAGAAACTTGACACTGTCAGTGTTTTGCGAACCTTGTAGACTTCTCCATGTTCCTCCTCTATTATTCTAAAATCCCCTCAGTAATCCCCTCCACCTATTAAAAAACACGCCCTCCCCTATTAACAAAAACTCGGGTGCATTTTTTTAAATAGGGGGTCCCTGAAATCGGGGTTGTCCAAAATAGGGTCAGTGGGAGGATCCTTCTGAATAATCATTGATTACGTATGAAATGCAGATGTCCTGGCAGTTGCAGCGCTTGTGAAGCTTGAAGAGCAGATTTCGTGCACAGATCGAAGGGTCTTTCCTTTTCCCTTGACAAAACCTTAATTAAAGTAATGCGTCATTAGACTAACAAATAGAGCTTTCGAAAGGTGATGTCGCTGTGCCATGCCGTTTTGCGCGGCCTCGGTGGCAGGTGCGTTTGCGTGAGTCCGTGCGTGGAGAGAGGTGGGCAAGTAGGGTTGCTTTTGGAACCTAATGAAAAGAACTACACCAAAATCGACCATGTTGGTAGTTTAGTAGCGGCTTTAAAGGGCGGCGGCAATTTCAAAACAAATACAAGCCGTATTTAGGGGTTTCCGACATGGTGCTTTTTTGATGGGGGAGTGTTTTTAATGGATACTCGGGGATTACTCCATAGGCAGGCTATATTGCTACTTTCTCTTTGTTCTGACTCGCGTGTTTCTGAGGCCCTTGCGCCTGAAGAAGTCCGCCGTTGCAGCAGCGATGATCATTGCCACTGTTCGTTGCTATGCTGCAAGGAAATTTCAAGAAGATTCAGACTTGAGCAAACGTCAGGAAGTTGTGAGACGAACGGTCACATCACATCCAGAGCGCAGAGTGCACAGTTGCCCCGTGAGGCGGTTTCCTGTTGAACTTTGGCGTTTACTATGCGACACGGGCTATGCCAAACACCTGGAGCCAAGAACATGCCAAGAGCACAAACCTGTGTTGGCATGTTTTAGTGTCGAACTGGCACACTTTTCAGGCTTGGGGTGCCTTTTGGATGGAGCTACCCCACCATTTTCATCACATGCTTTTGCTCCGTGGGATTCTTAAGCATTTGAAGCTAGCTTGACCATTGAGGCGACCCTACCTGCTTTGCAGAGCACTTTGTTTTATCGAGAGCAACCTCCTGAACAGAATATCTCAGTCTCAGTCTTTCTTTAAACATTTGAGGTGTATGCTTTGGTCATTGCAGTGACGAAGGCCCCCTGTACACCATGTCGTAGCCAGTGTGCTATTGAACGGGTCGAACTCTGTTGCTAATAGCTTCTTGTTTCTAATAGCTTCTTGTTCCTAGCAGTAAGGCACTTGTTACTAGTAGCGATGCACTTGTTCCTAGTAGCGAACATCGTTTCTTTTTTCTCATTTTTTTGCAGGATTTGCCAGATGTTCAGGGTGACCTTGAGAACAAGATCGACTCTTGGTTATCCAGTGCAAGTCACAGGGCGCAAGAGCAGGGCAGAAAATGGAGCGGTAGAAATGGTAATGCAAGATGGGAGAAATAGGCACAGCCAGCTTCGCGTCCTTACTTTTTTTTGAACAACCCTGGAAATCAGCCAAGGATACCTTCGCCACTCGGTTTGGAGTAGGCCTGGCCCAAGCTGTAGATAGCAACTGAATTGCGAAGCAAATCGAAAGGTAGCTGCTATAGCTGAAGGTAGCTTGATTCAGCTTGACAGCTCATTGATGTGAAACACCCTAATAGCACTGGCCTCCAACCGAAGAGCGATGGCCTCCAACCTAATAGCGATGAGGGGGTTGAATGAAACATCGTTAGCAAAGCGCATTGGCAATGCATTCTCCATGGCGTTTTGAACCGCTTCGATGTTTTGAACTTTGGCGAGTTCACTCCGTTGAGCCAATGGTCATCGTGAGGCACCGTTGCAACAGCTGCAAGTGCAGTGCTCCTAGCCAACTATGCTGCTGCCTTGGCTGGTTACTCAGACATCACTCAGACAAGCTCTTGGTTTTCCTCCATTTTCAGGCCGTAGCGGTGAGAAACATACTCCAGACAAGACGAGCAAGCAAATTCGAAGGATTAAAGGAAAGCTCGGGTTCTTCGAAGGTTCTCCCGTGACCCTGTTCAAAAGCTTCCTGGTTTTGAAGCAACGATGCTTCAAGCGGTCCGGTACAGTTGGTACTTACCAGCAGAAGAATGTGGGGACTCCTACCATTTGTCTTCTGTGGAAGCCAAACAATTCCTGCAGGTGTGGGCCAACAGCCCTGCTGCAGCTGCCTTTCGCCCCAAAGTCCTTTTGTTTGACTCTGAGCGAACTGAACCAAAGTTCTGATGCAGCACAGAATTCAGATTAAAATCAGATGAGGTCGACAAAAACAGACAGGAATGGTGATAAATATTGGCCAAGCAGAATGCAGCAAGTGTCCTTTCATGGCTCAGCGATGGTGATTTTTTTTGCTAAGGCCAGCCCACGCAGTTCTTGCATTGCTTCTTGCAGGGTCCTAAATTGCAGTGCACAGTGCCAACATTCCAATGACGTGTCGACTGCATACGTTGTCATAGGCCAACATGCTTCAACCTCACCTGGGAGGTCACAGGGAGATACAATGCGAATCAATGCGATACTATTGTTTGATAGGATCCTCCTGTCCGGATTCGTAGAATTAGGCCGTCAACTGTACGACGGATAGTTCGAGCTTGTTTTGCGGCCGGAAAGGGATCGTATAAAACCGAACGTGCCGTACCACGTGCACTGAACATTTAATTTGTGGCGAGTGCAATTGGCAAACGATAGACCGCCAGCTGGGCGCTGGAGTTGTTGGAGGTCGCGAAAGGCAGTCAAAGAACTTCTCCGCAAGATAAAACCTTCTGACTTTTCCCACAGGAGCTTTTGGCTTGATTTCCGACTGGTTCTCTCTGTTTGGCAGAAGATCACTTTTGTGGTTCGATTCTCCCCGTTTCCTTGATGGAGCGGTGAACAACTCAATCTCACTTGCTGTATACAGTATACATTTCATATACTGTACATAAGCTCTTGCCGCTTGCCTTCCCTTCGCTTTTGTTCATCCTTGTCATAGTTCTTGACAACAGTGCTTTGTCTCTACTTGGGCTGATGAAATAACCCCGGGCTCAGCAGTTTGGCCTGCACCTTAACACTACTAATGCATGGCTGGCCCAGAAAACGATAAGAGTAAAACAACGATAACGAGCTTGTACATGTACATGTTCATGAACCTTGAAGATTGCAAGAATGCGAGCGCTTGGGAGGATACCCACATGACCGGTTTGAGCATATCGCCTTTTGAAGTGATATTTATGCAACATGAAAGGAACATGAAAGGAAACGAATGCGAAATGAAAGGAAACGAATGCAACATGAAAGGAAATGAAAGGAACGCACGACATCTGTTGGCTTTTGACCAAGGATACTTCACGCCCACAGAAAGCTGGACAATTCAGATGTCTAGTACACAGAGCTCAACACCTGAGAAAACGATAAGAGCAAGAAGAAGCGATAACATGATTTCGAGGTATTGCAAAAGACACTTTTTTTTAATACCCCACTTGTTGTTCATTTTACTACAGTCAAGGTGGTTTGGAAAACCAGGCAACACTATGGCAATGGTTTGTGGATTGTTTAATTTTGGTTTCCCTTTCTACCCGGTGTCTACGGATTGAATTCTTTTGCATGTGGCGTCCCCTTTGAGGTCCGCGGACTGGTGCGACTTCGCCGTGCTCGTTTTAGCCAAGAAGGCCTCAAAGCATTCTACAGGCCGAGATTGCCGAGATTCGGGTGCTCGACATGCAAGATGTAGGTTGACAGAAAGCTGAGGGTTCATCAAGGCAGTGCAGAAGTAAATTTCAGGGAGAGACCTCTTCATGTCATATCCGAAGCAAAGCAGCATAAATTGTCGAAATCGCACAAAAGAGCCTGCTAGAAATCAACGAGGAACAAGCTGTTGTCAACATGGTGCGGTATCAACTAGGACTGTGCCATTTTTCTTTGCATGAACGACCTTTGTCTCGGTTCATTCGGCCTTCCTATAAGAGATTCTCAGGTCACCTCATGTCCTTGTCAACCAAGTAATGATTTCGATTCCATTCCACAATTGCGGCCATCGCTCTTAGGTTGGAGGCCATCACTCTTCTTGACCGCAACGCCGTCCTTTACAGTCTGAAGCGAACAGAGGTACTTCATGGTACTTCAGTGGTTGAGTTCCCTCGTAGGCTGATTTGGCTCCTCTTCTACTCGGAATACTTCCTCTTTCCATTCGCAGGATGCCTCAGGAATGTTCAGCTGGCCATTGATTCATGACGTGAAAAGCTGTCACTGCCGTGCCTGTGAACACACAGATTATGCACGGCTCAGGTTTGATGTTCTTTGCACAGAAATGACTGCGAGACAATTGCGAAGAAACGAAATGTGCAGCCTAGCATTGGGCTCCAGCACTGTTTGAAATGAAAGACATGCGAATGCCTAGCATTGCTGGTACTGCGTTACTTGACACAAATCGATGCGTGGCTGCTTTCACAGGGTCCAGCGAAGCCCTATCCGAAAAGGCAGCGTTTGATACAGAGGTGCACGAAATGACTCCCAACACTTGCTGGCCTACTTAAGAAGCAGAATTGACGATTTCGGACTTCTGGTTGCAAATTATTTTTGTGAAACTGCCTTGGGCACTATCAGTTCTTGGCATTTGTTTCTTCTGCTTACAATCTAGCTCGTCCAGGTTCGCAAAGTCTTAGAGCAGAAGTTTAACCTAGAAGGACGTACGCTGCTCAGAATCCCCGAAGGTTACAGACGCTGTGAACAAAATATTGCATGTAGAGGCTTGAGAGAAGCATTTCTAAAGGCTCAGGCTTGAGCTTGCAAGCACCTACTTAGCAACCCAATATATATTGCGTGTTTAGAGGTCGGTAGATTGCAAATACAACTCTGAATGAAGCGACTTTGGCCATGCTGGTCCAGCTAGGTTTTGCTCAACTTGATGCTGAAGGCACCTTGTGCGCTGAAACATTTTGAACTGGTGAAGTTCTTCCTGCCAGAGGAGCAGGTAGAGTCGGTAAACCGAGATGGCCAGCAGCCATTGATGGGAGTCCGCCAAAAGATAGCAAGAGCGGCAGAAGGAAACATAATTGGGACATATTGGAAGATACTTCTTTAGCGCTATTTGCATAATTTCGTTGCTTCATTGCCTGGTGTCTAAGAGTGGGATGGTTCCCCGGATGTGCTTTGTCCGAACGACTGCAGTGCCAGGTGACAGCCCTGTAACCTGGCAGCAGGCTGCAGCGAAGGAGACTTCATTCCTTCGCATCGCATATACTCCACCGATTCTGAACGCTGACCGAACAAGATCTTTTTCCCGAATGCGTAGCGAAGGGTTCTCGTTTAACTCTTGGGGGGTCTGGGGGTAGAGCCTTGTTCGCGACCCGTTGCTTCTATGTTCGCAACCGTCCGCAACCGTTCGCAACCGTCCGCAGTAGAGCGCTAAGGCGCTGCCATTGGGGGAAGGTTTTGCAAGTGACTTTTCATGGATGTGTCACGTGTCAGTTTGCGCCGCTATTCCATTGTGATTTGCATGAAAAAGACATGTCGCGCAAGCAACGTGATGCGTTTCGCTGCACAGGCGCAGCGTTTGGTGAGATCTGCAGATTGCTGCGCAGCTCCATTGGGATTAGCGTTTGGAGAGTCGTGTTTTTGGGGTGTTGGATGTGGCCGTGCCATTGGGATTTGCGTTTCAGGGTGTGGCATCGAAGCTCTGTTTTCGTGACAATTCTCAGCTGAAATGCCGATTTTGGTGGATGGGAGTGTGCTCAGAACGGGTCGAAATCATTCCAAACGTGTGGTGTGGTGCAAATTTTGTTGAAGCTCACATGAGATGACATTGTTACTTTTCGTGGCAGGCGCAGGACTTTGTGCGGGCTTTGAGGTGTGGAAGTGGGATTTTCGTGGCAAGTGCAGGGAATCGTGAGGTTGCGATGTGTGACGGAGGTGACATTTCGTGGCAGGCGCAGTACTTTGCGCGCGTTAGACGTGTGGACGCGGAAAGATTCGTGGCAGGCGCAGGGAATCGGGAGGTTGTGAGTTGTGGTAGAGGTGAATGTCGCTGTCACATTGGGATTGGCGTGTGAGCGGGCGTCGTTTGGAGGGGCTGGAATCGCGAAACTGCTTGGCAGGGCTGCGTGATGTGTGTGCTCCGATGGGTGTTTCCGCTGGACTTTTGGAGGAACACTCGTGCGAAACGTTCGTTTTGCAGACTTTGACATGTGAGTTTTTGAGGAAGTCTCGTACGAAACGCTCGTTTTGGGGACTTGACATGTGACTTTTGAAGGAAGTCTCGTACGAAACGCTCGTTTTGGAGACTTGACGTGTGACTTTTGGAGGAAGTCTCGTACGAAACGCTCGTTTTTGAGACTTGACGCGTGACTTTTGGAGGAAGTCTCGTACGAAACGCTCGTCTTGCAGCCTCGCAGCGTGACTTTTGGAGGAAGTCTTGTACGAAGAGTGTGCCCTACAGGAGTGTCCCACAAGAGTGTCCTAGAAGAGTGTCCCGCAACCATGTCCCACAAGAGTGTCTCACAAGAGTTAAGAGTGTCCCAGAAGAGTGTCCTATAAGAGTGTCCCACAAGAGTGTCCCACAAGAGTGCCCTACAAGAGTGTCCAACAAGAGTGTCCTACAAGAGTATCCCACAAGAGTGTCCTACAAGAGTGTCCCACAAGAGTGTCCCGCAAGAGTGTCCCAAATGAGTGTCCCACAGGAGTGTCCCACAAGAGTGTCCCGCAACAGTGTCCCGCAAGAGTGTCACAAGAGTGTCCCTTAAGAGTGCCCCACAAGAGTGTCCCACAAGAGTGTCCCGCAAGAGTGTCCCAAATGAGTGTCCCACAGGAGTGTCCCACAAGAGTGTCCCGCAACAGTGTCCCACAAGAGTGTCCTACAAGAGTGTCCCACAAGAGTTTCCTACAAGAGTGTCCCACAAGAGGGTCCCACAAGAGTGTAAGAGTGTCCCACAAGAGTGTCCTGCAAGAGTGTCCCACAAGAGTGTCCCACAAGAGTGTCCCACAAGAGTGTCCCACAAGAGCTTCCTACAACAGTGTCCCACAAGAGTGTCCCACAAGAGTGTCCTACAGGAGTATCCCACAAGAGTGTCCTACCCGCAAGAGTTTCCTACTAGAGTGTCCCACAAGAGTGTCCCACAAGAGAGTCCCACAAGAGTGTCCCACAAGAGTGTCCCACAAGAGTTTCCTACAGAGTGTCCTGCAAGAGTGTCCCACAAGAGTCTCCCACAAGAGTGTCCCACAAGAGCTTCCTACAACAGTGTCCCACAAGAGTGCCCCACAAGAGTGTTCCACAAGAGTGTCCCACAGGAGTATCCCACAAGAGTGTCCTACAAGAGTGTCCCACAAGGGTTTCCTACTAGAGTGTCCCACAAGAGTGTCCCACAAGAGTGTCCCACCAGAGTGTCCCGTAAGAGTGTCCCACAAGAGTTTCCTACAAGAGTGACCCACAAGTCTGTCCCACAAGAGTGTCCTACAAGAGTGTCATTTGGACATATGTAGCTTTTTGAACGTGTTTGCATTCGGGTTCGTGGGCTCCATCTTGTTTTTTTTGTGTGTGTGTCACCCCCTGTACCAAAGGGTTCAATGCCACGGTTTTCTATTACAACCACTCCACGAGGCAGGGGACCACAGCTCCTTTCACCAGTCTGTGGCCAACGAAGCTACTGATGATTGGAGAGGATATGAACCTGGGACGCCAGGTTCACGTACCTGCTTTCCTTTTTCAACTGTTGACAAGCTGTCCACTCTCGCTTTTTTGGTTTCATGGTCCTTCACGATACTTCCCCCAAACCTACTCTTCCCCAGCAGCTGCGCCGCCGGTTTGATCGTCTTGCCGCCATTTTGAACAATGTTGAACAATACTTTTCAGCGGACTTTGCCACCTTGCCGTTCCCTCGCCTTCCTGCTCAACGTGGGAACTGAGTGTAACTGAGAACCAATGTCAGAGTGTTTTCGCTCAGCCGTCCCACTCGGGTGCTGAGTGTGATCCCCGTCACTGGGGCGCTGAATTCATGCCGGAAATCGTGTAACTGAGCTTTTCCACCTTCACCGGAATTCACCACTGGATCAACCTTAACTGAATTTACTGCCTCCACGGCCGCCGGGCCAAAAAACGGGACACCAGCAGATTTCACCCTGCATCGGTTTTGTATAAGCGTTGAACTTTGTGTTTCGTGGTTTTCTTCCTCAAGCTGAGCGATTTGATTCATTTCGAACGCTTAATTCGACTTGCATGGACTTACCACCTTTCACACTTTCACAACTTCCACAACTACCGCTTTTACGCTACATATTCACATTTTCACCATATCTTTACCATCTCACTTTACACGATTGCACCAGCTGCTGTCCTCGCCGCCGCGCCGCGCCGCTGCCATGGTGAAGCAGATACTACGAGTTCTGGACAGTCTTCCATTTGCCACACGATGCAGTATCCTTGGCCTTACTCCCACACAGCACCACTGCCATTACCCACTCCGCCAACACAACCGGCACCCCATCCACCACATCCGCACACACCACCAACATTCCAAGTTCCACAACATCAACCATTTCCAGTTCCACCACATCCAACACTTCCAGCTCCACAACAGCCAGCATTTGCAGCGCAACCAACTGTATTACCCTATGGACCTCACTCTGTGTGGACCTTCGTACATTCCCCTCACCCACCTCAGATACCGCCACAGGCCACACATCATCCACAAGCATTTCCAGCATCCTACATCGTTCAACAACATTCACCATCTGCCCACCCCACCACAGCTACCGTAATGCAGCCACCTCCCACACCTCAGCAGGTCACTCCAGCCTCCACATTCCCACCAGTGACACGGCTGTCACCACACCCTTCATCACAGCCCCAACAGGCAATCAGCGACTCACCACAAGAACAACCACCACCCCAACATCCTACACCACAGGATCCCACAAACCCTACTCCCAACCTCACGACTGCAGCTACTGTCTCACAACCCTCTCCATCACCAGCCACTACACCGGTGAACCCGGACCCTGCCGCCGGGGTAGCAACTCATACAGCTTCACCAGCACAGCCATCATCTCATCAACCACACACTACTCGGCGCCACCACCACCAGGGCCGCCGCAGGACCGATCATCACAGACACGGTCGCCACCGGCGTCGCCGTCGACGCGCGCACCGACAGCACTCCAGCACCACCAAACATAAAAGTTCCTCCAGGCGACACCGCTCGCCCTCCACATCCACCTACTCATACTCTTCCACACCCTCACGCAGTCGCTCCAGACAACCTCTTGACCTACGACCCAACACGGATGCTTCCACCGCCGACAATCCCAACACCTCCACCACGGAATACCCACTCACACCTGTACATCGTCGACCGCCCAACTTTTGGCGACCCACCTCACACTTTCAACAATTACCTCCTCAACAGCAACTTTTCACTTGGCTCGACTTCCATGCCGGCCAGCTGGATACCCCCAATCGACCTCAACACCACTACATTGCCAACCTTCTCCTCAACAGCAACATCACATACAAAGACATCACCGATTTCAGGCAATACGCCTACGCCAAGTGGAATGACACCACCCAGCAATATGATCAATTCCAGTACAATGCCATTTCACTCCCATACCTCAACACCAAAGCCACCCAACCCTCACCGCTGCCAGTTTCCCGCGCCATTTCCACAGACAGGGAAGTTGCACACATCAACGCCTGCCACACCGGCCCTGTCGGCAACATCACCAACATCCTACGACAAGGCCGTTTCCTCCCCAGCACACTTCACTTCCCAAACTACCCTGGCTTTTTTGCCCAGGGGGTCCGCATTATACTCACAACCCACAACACGACCACGGCAAATTTGCTCGCATTATCCACAATACATGGCAACTGCACAAAAACACCAACTCCCTCGTTATCACACTCCTGGCCTGGGGCGCCGCCACAAAATTCACTTCGGGCGGCGAAGAACATGCCATGACCCTTTTACACGACAACCACGGCGCTGTCTTCCACCAGAAGGGCAGAAGTTGGGTCATCCACCCTGACCATGCTATTGTCAAAGGACTAGCATGGTCGGTCAACGCAACCCCACCAGACCTGTGACAACCCAACACTCAACACCCACCCGACAACCGCCTACAACCTTCGGTTTCACCCAGCCACACACCCTCCGCCTCGCCAGCAGCAAAAGCAACGCTGACACTCGCGCAGATGCTTCGGATTTCAACTTTTACATGT